CTATGTCCTTTCATATTTCCACCAGACATGGTTGAATTTTTGTTGAAAACTGCGGATAGGTTTTTCTCGTTGCGTTGAGTTATGTAACGCGGGGGCGGACTTGGCGACAGGGTTGGAACTTGTTGCACCTACCCTAATATCCGAAGATTTCTAAGAACATGAAACGAACGAAGGGGTTTTCACCTCTACGATGGATTCGTGTTCTACGCCGTGGATGGGGAAAAAGGAACTTGAGTTTTTTTTATTATATTAGAGGCTGGAGACAAAGCCCACATCTGTTGAAACGGGCTCGCTTTTTATTTTATTATTATTAATGGTCCAAGCCATTTTGATCCAAAATAAATCCATTGGACGTACCCTCATGGACACTTGGACATCCAATGTATTGATATATCCTCCTGGGACATCCCTGGATGACTACAGTGGTCGTCAAAATTAACGTACCAGGGTTTTTTCGAAAAATATGGAACCTATGCGACTCAAAGGTTTTGCACAGGACAGCTGCCCGTGAGTGCTGATCCACCTAAAAAAGGAGGGACTCTAGTTTGTTACATCCCAGTTACGCAGTTGTTTATTTCGGCTTGAGGAAACATGCCTCTTTCAGTGAAGGATCGCTACGAGATTGATTTCTTGCCGCTCGTCCCATGGGTCCAAAGGTCTCTTCTGCCGCCATCGCGAAGCATAAAAGGATCTCAAAGCTAGCGACGGCCGGTTGGTTTAAAAGATATCGAGAGACGGGAATGGTGGAGGGAAAAGCGTGATGGCTCGGACTATCTAACACCCAGGTAAGATGTGTGTTTGGTGCTGCTTCTCTGCTGGAGGGTTTGGGAAGATCTCCACCTTCACCCAGAACCTGGATGCCCATCTGCTGAATACCATTTATGAGCGTGTCCTCTTGCCTTCTGCAGCTACCATGTTTCCTGATTCAAGGAAGTCCTGGGTGCTGCAGGAGGACAACGATCCGAAGCACACCTCAAAGCAACCGACAAACCGGAGGGTCGAAAATGGGGTGTCCCGTTTGGAATATCCGTCGCAGTCTCTCGATCTCAACCCCACATAAAATGTGTGGGCACTCTTGAAGGGCAAAGTAGCGTATCGGCACCCCAGAACAATCCGTAGTTTACGAGCAGTAATCAAGGAGGTGTGGAGGAGTAGGAGCGAAGAGTAAGCAAAAAAAATGGTGAACTCCATTCCAGGCCGATTACGTGCTGTAGTCGAAGCGAAAGGCAATTTTACCCGGTATTGAGATCAGGGCTCGATATGTGCTTTCTGATGAAATAAAAGGTTCTCTGATGTCTCACGTTGAATAAGAGAAAACCCCAGTACGTTAATTTTGACGCACACTGTAAATGCCTCGTCCAAAGAAAATCCTTGGACATGTCCATTATTGGATGTCCGTCTCTTTCATTCCATTGCAGGAGATTCCCTTTGGGAAAGCTTTTGGATCACCATTGAGGGGTGCAGCGATAGTAATCCCCAGGTTGCTATGGAGCATAATTTGCATACTCATGAAAGGAGCATTTTCCACATATTGACAATCTCGCCCCTCACATTCCTCGGAGGAACTAGGAAAGGAATGTTTGAATAGAAAGTGAAGTATTATTGATTCGAAACTTCCCGTCCTTATCTCTCAATCTAGACACCCATCACCATAGGAAACATGGTTCTCATCGGAAAGGAACAGACTTACTTGACAAGGGGAACCACACTCCCACCATGCAATATGCAAGAATTGCCGGGAGTCTCCTTGATTCAAAAGTTATCCATGGACAGTCCAGATGTCCAGAGATGGATGGAGGTCCAGAGGCGGTCGTCCGTTGGATGTACATAGGATGCCATCGCCATGGATCGATATATTCTCGTGCATTCTGAGCTTTATTCGAGCAAAATTCCCCTACATCGAAAACTCAATCTCATCACTCAATCTCATCACTCAATCTCATCACTCAATCTCATCTTATTGAATGAAGGTTTTATGGAATGGCGTTACGAGGATCCGATCGTGGGATTTATTTTGTCCTTTTTTTTATTCTAATCTCCCATCTTAGGTCTCAATCCAATAACTTCAATCAATATATAGATAGTGTGACAATATAATTGGACTAGTGCATGATTTCATTTAGATTTCGACAATACGAACGAAACGATGTGTCAGTCCTTCTTTGGGCATTCATATGACGTCCAGCAATGGAACCTCCAAGGACAACTTCTTATGGTCTTCCATTGGATGTCTTTGGATAGAATCCCCGTCCCGTTGAGGCCTTCCATCTGACCTGACATCTAACAGTTCATTCAAGGAATAAAAAAGTTCCCATAAAATAAGCGAGGTCGCGCTCATCCCGCCGCTGTATGTCTCCCGATTCCCAAAATGCTAGCTAATTGTTCTGCGTACGCTTTCATCCTCTACTCGATCATTTCCCGCGTACAAGTCTAAGGAATGAAGTCATTCTAATTAATTCATTTGTTGAGAGACATAACATAGCTCAAGGAGACTCCTGACAATTCTTGCACATTGTATGGTGAGAGTGTGGTTCCCCTTGTCAAGTAGGTCTGTCCCTACCTCATATGAACTATGCTACCTATTCTGACGGAGTAAATAATGTCTTGCTAGAGAAATAAGGATGGGAAGTGGAGAGATTCGGCTCAATATTACTTCACTTTCCATCCAAACACTCCTTTCCTTGTTTCTCCAAGGAATAGTGAGAGGGCGAGATTGTCAATATGTGGAAAGTGCTCCTTTCATGAGTAAGCAAATTATGCTCCATAGCTACCTGGGGATTACTATCGCTGCACCCCTCAATGGTGATCCAAAAGCTTTCCCAAAGGGAACCTCCAATGGAACGAAAGAGACGGACATCCAATACTTCATCCAATGGACATGTCCAAGGATTTTCCTTGGACGAGACATTTAGACATCCAGGGGATCTCCGAGGAGGATATACATTGGATGTCCAAGTGTCCATGAGGGTATGTTCAATGGATTTATTTTGGATCAAAATTGCTACTTGGGTAGCGACCTTCAATCATCCCGTAATTTGTTTATTGTTGCATAGTTTAAATAAAGCTGTGCTCGAGCGAATGGGCATTCTTCTCACATCTGCGGTGACACTGGCTCCCATTCTGACTAGGAGATGAAGGGAAGGAGATGAAAGAAAATTATCCTTCCTTCGCAATAGCTAAGCGGGGAATGTCTCGTAGATAAAAGAGGACAAGTTCCATTTCCACTCCAAGCCGTTCTTGCCAAACAGCACTCATCAAATTCTGTTTTGCTGTGTTGACATACACGGGCAGTGGAAACATAACTGGTGTTGGGTTCCTTGAACTTTCCAAAACATTTGATACAGTCCCCATGACATTCCCGTCTCCAAATTATCTTATTATAACTTTCCCCCCATCAGTAGTGATATTTTCTTAAAGCTATCTCTGTGACCGTTCCCGACTCATAAAATTAAGAAAGCCGTCTTCAGCAGCCCACCTTGAACTCCCCTTGCTGTGCCCAAAGGTTCCCGTCCTCGGTTCCGTCTCATTTATCTTATACATCAACTATTTTGAGGCTGTCACGATCTGCTCAATCGATCTTCATGCAAATGATGCGACACTACATTTCTCAGCTGCAAACTCCGATGCAACCTCTTCTCCAGTCGAACCTCGACAGACTGTGCCTCCTGCAACAAAGATCAATGAGGAAAAAACCAGAAGCTCGCTTTTGTGATCCCATCATCCTCTCTCTTGCTCACAGAACGCAAACTCTCTTCAAATATCCATGGGTAAAGCATCAATTGAATAAGTAGACACATTTACACTACTGGGGATGATCTTGCACCCCAACATACTTCACTTATTACATCTTTCATCTCCATTGTAAACTTTCCTCTGAAAATTTATCTACTCTTTTTGGCTAAATACCAGCAGCTTCCCTCATATACTTATCCTCTAATTTATCTAGGGTCATCTGATGAAGTACTTAAATACATCGATCGCATCCGTGCTATTAAGTCTCGGGATCGTGATGCCGGAGCTGAATTCGTTACCAGTTCATGGTTCATGGGTTTCGAAATAGATTAAATGTTCAGCTTCTGTCTGATGAAGTCATATTTTTCAAAGCTTTGATCATACGGAAACTGTTGGAAGACTCAGGGATTTATTTTTTTAAATTGGAAATGCGAAAGGGCCAGGAAAGTCTCTTGATCTGAATGTGACTGAAAGCATTGGGGTCATCCCGAAAGACCCGAGTTGAGGCTCACGCGCATGGAGGGCGAGCAGCAAGGATTCTCCCGGGAAGCCTTGCAATTGCGGCATCACCAAAGTGCTGATGGGCGTGGAAAATGACGCGGAGCTCAAAAAGTGCCTATTTTCATTTCACCCCGCTCGTATTAAAACTCTGAGACACGGCCAGGGTGCACGCAAATTATGAGAAGTACATGTTTAGATTCGAAAATGAATGCTCTTTCTCACGATAAATGAGCTTTTCCCCTAACTCTTGTAGTTTAGGCTGTGGAGGGTGGAGGGGCTATCTATGTGCAGCACCCGGTGCAAGTGATAGGATTTGCGCGCCTCGGCCTTATAAGTTGAGAAACATACGCTAAAATCTCGGAGCGTTGTTTCATGCGCCATCCGGAGTATTTTGGTTTTTAGATCTCTACCATTCGTGAGAAAAATGCTCACATGCCTATTCACATTTTGGGACCGGAAATAGATGTAATTAGCCTGATAATTGCTGGTAGTTGGAATTTCCTGTCCTTGAATCCTGTGACGTTGGGGGAGGCAGGGTCAGAATTTGCCTCACCTAACCCAGATCATCGAGAACAAGAACTTGAATCCATGGAACGGGTGAAAACCAGATCCCGTGAACGAGGAAAAAATTGGAACTCATTTTCTTTTCTTAATATTGACCAAAAAGGAAGTCCTAACCTGTTGAAAAGAACTCGCTTAATTTGACGTTTTTCCGGCGATAGACATTAAATACATTGCGAAGAGAATCCGCATCCAGTCGATTCCGGATGTCCCTCGTCGCACTCTTTTATGACTCTGTAGAGCAGGGGTGTCAAATTGGCTGGCCGGATCCGGCCCGCCAGTCCATTTTGTCCAACACGCGAAGTCCTCTTCAACGGTCGGTTACGGGAAAGTACTGCGAATTTCAGCCAGTCTGCATAAAGGATTAGATATTAGGCCTCTATTGTGGCCCCTAATCACCCCTGAAGGCTTCCTCCGGCCCCAAGCCTTATCGAGTTTGACACCCCTGCTGTAGAGCATATGAGTATTCTTTGCATGCACACATCTCAATCGCCTCGCGCTGGGAGGGGCAATAACTTTCCTCATTCCAGCTGCGAGACCCGTTTCTCTTCCAAACGAATTCTTATGGAATGAGGGAGAGCTGCTGCTTCCATAAGCGCTGGAAATTCCATCCCAATTAGTGTGACTCCTTCTCCTACCCACCATCCATGTATGTCCGGGGAGGGGAAGAGGCCCTGGAGACCAACACAGCAATTCTACATCCCTTACTGTATGATCCCACTAATGTCAAGGTCAGATGAGATCATGTGGAAAGCAGACTGTGTGGCTTGAGAGCGGGTGAGAGGGAGAGCGGAAAAAAATAGGGAGCGACGGAGTGTTTCACTCTTCCCTCCTGCTCACTCTCCTCACAGAAGCAGGCGTCAGGATGCTCCAGTGACGTTTTAATCGCTTGTCTCCGCTCTTTTGAGTCACTAGTTGCGTGGTGCGGGATCTCCATCCACATATTGTGCGAGTCAAGACGATGTTGTTCCTGGTCGCCGTTTTCGTGCTTCTAATCGCTTACCTTTACAGGCATGTTCATGTTTCCGAATTCCGAAGAATGCATGCAGTGCTCCATAAGTTCATTAGGTTCATTCTGCCACAGGGCTAATGAAAGAGCGAATATGCAATTTTGAATGTTTTCAGGTGTGAAATGATTTGCCTTATTTTTTTTAGATAAATAAAATAAAATAAGATATTTGAGGCATTTCCCTTGGATAGATCTGCCCAGGGCCGGATTAACCCATATGCTAATAAAGGCTACAGCCTTAGACCCTCATATTTTTAGGCCCTACTTTAAACCCTACATCCCATTTTTGTTGTTGCAATATATAATACTTAAGCCCTTCCCTCCCATTAGCCTTAGGCCCCTCATAACCTTAATTCGGCCCTGGCTCTGCCTCAAATTTTATTCCTCAAATTTCATTCTTGGGTTCGAAAAGTAGGTTACGGTTAGAATGCACAGGCGGTTACGTCGTGGAAAATCCAACCGGGGTTCGCGAGTCGGAGAATTTTCATTGCCAGCGAAGGCAGCTAAGAGGAGAGAGACAGACAGACGCACGAGCAGGGACTTTCTCTCGGCTGTCTCAAGCCAGATCCGAGGTAGCGCCTTGCGACTGTCGTTCGGACCTCAATGCGCATGCGTCATCCTCCTGCCTTCGACGCAGATGATTCAAAGCAGTTACCATTCGTCCCATTCCGTGTCTCTCCCGATGAGAACATTTTTGAACGAGGACGACGTACGTATTAGCTGTTTCACGGCCTGCCGTCGTTCTGTCTATGGGCTTTTATTTATTTATATAATTTCGTGTACATACTGCCATGACAAGGCGGACGCGGAATTCGTCGGTTTGAAAATGCAGAAGTGGATAACATGTTTGATCTCTAAAGCTCTTCTTGGCAATGAAATGTTGGATGAAGCCTGTAAGCCTGTTACTTTTAATCGCAGGTTGTCAAGGGTTACATTGACTTCACCAGATGAAAAAAAAAATCCCCTCGTCTCGAGGATTGAGGATACAGGATCCGTACTTTTTTTAGATGTCATAATGCCATGAGGACTCAAAGCGATTGCAAAACGAATGGGCGATTTCCCAGACTGACGAATACAAACGAAACCAAGATGTTAAAATGTGAATTCGATTCACTTCTTCGCATTCGTCTCAGAGACGTGTCTCCTCCGTTCGGTTCTCATCATATGTCCGTTTCATGCAATATATAGTTTTTCTGGGTCTCATACCTGTGGAAAAAATAGGAAACCCTGCGACTTTCCTTCCATGGCAAAATACGTACCTGTCTCGGGCTGTCTTTCGGACCTTAGTTAACTTTGACGAACGCCTCATAGGGCTACTCCACTCGTCCTTCGTGATTTTGGAAATTACGAGAAACACGAGTTTCATTGTAAGAGCTCAAAAGGTCTGCACATTATTCATTAATCACGTCTTGTAATATGAGATGCGTTTGAGAGTGAAAATGTCCTTCACACTTGGGATCGTGCCGCATTCATGACCTTTGCTTGTCTTCTTTCTCCGGCCAGGAAGATCTCCAATGGATTCAACTACTTCGAGAAGAAAGGGATCCCGACCGAGAAGCCGCTTTATCCCCTCGTTGGGAACCTCTGGAACTTCTGGAAGGAGGTCGGGCGAGTTCCCTTTCCATTTTTCACCGTTCGCGCGTGTTCATTTCCTTGATTCCTTGCGTACTTGCAGGTACAATTCCAAAGGGATGCGAAGAACGAGAAAAGATTCGGGAAGGTCTGGGGGTGAGTCCATCACAGTCCCCAGCCCTCAAGAAAAAAAAATCATTTGATTTTGTTCTTGCAGTTCTTTTGATGCATTTTATTTTCCTGTTTCAGTGTTAACACAGAGCTTGTGTTTACTCATCTGCATCGATTAATCACGCCTGTTTTTTTTTATTACTTTATTTTATGTGACCCACTTTGATACATGGTCGATGAAGGTCGTTCGAGGGGAGTAGACCAGCGTGGAACATCGCGGATCCTGATCTCATCAGGGACATCTGCATCAAAGAGTTCGATCACTTCACCGATCGCAGGGTAGATTCCATACCTTGGGAAGGAGTTAATTAAAAGGGAGTTGGGGTAAATTAACGAAAGCGTCATTTCATGATGGCATGTCTGGATTCCCAGGTGTTTTTCATGAAAGACAAGGTGTTGTCGAAGATGCTGAATGTGTTGAAGGGTCATGAATGGAAGGACGTGAGATCCGCCGTCTCCCCTGTCTTCTCCTCGGGCAAAATCAAGAAGGTCTGTCGCTCTTCGAATCAATCTCTCTCTCCCTCACCCTCTCTCTCCCTCACCCTCTCTCTCCCTCACCCTCTCTCTCCCTCACCCTCTCTCTCCCTCATCATCTCTCTCTCTCTCACGCACTCAGACTAATCACTGAAAAGTAGACCGATGAATTAGATTAGCTTTTGGAGGATTTTAGAGTTGGATTAATGGAGTGTTGTTGGGAGTACATGCAAGGTACTCAAGGCCAGAAAATTGCCATGAGGAATCGATTCAGGCAGTCGACAATTTCTCGGAGAGAGCCAAGCGAAGGTGAGAGGAACGCACATAAAAGCGTTTTGGTTACCCGATTTTGAGGAGGGCGGGGACGTGAACTTATTATTGGGCGTTCAAGCTCCCGATTTCCAAATTGCTATGCGTTTCAGATCGGGGACGAACATCTTCCACAGATCTCAGCGCAGATGATGTGCAAACGACAACCAATCTGAAAACATCTTCGGCTCAGTCATACCCAGCTACGGTGCATAATAGTGTATCTACATTTCATGCATTTTCCATCAGATTTTAGTCTTTGCAGTTGCCTTACATGAGGAATTCCAAGCCTTTCGGCTGAACTTGGGCAACGGACACCAACAACGGACAACGACACACCATTGTTCGTCGTATCTATAAAGAAACCCTGAATAAACCTCGCAAGCTAGAATGGGTGGCCTAGAAATTCGGGAATCTCATCCTCCAATCTTGGAAAGAGCATAAATTCCCGTTTTACAGCCAAAAGGCTCATAATATCTCGTCCCTCGGGGTAGCAGGTAGGCCTACAGTATTTTAGAGAGCGCTTGGATGAGGTGCCAACTTCAACACGACACAATGAATCATCCGCCTCCCAAATGAGGAGTGACACTTAACGAATCAAACGACGTTGTACTCATGTGACTATCAAGTCTTTTCTGATTGGTGGATCTTTGCATCGCAGGAGGCCGGCTGGAAAAGCCCCATCAAGCCCTAGACGCCTTCCTCGCGCGTTTTAAAACTACTGGTGATGACGTCATCCGTTCTACATCCCTTGCCGTCCTCTCAAGAGCTGGTACCCGAAACTCCCTACAGTAAGGACGGAGACGTCTTCTGACCTTTCAATCTGCCGATGCTGCACTGCACCTGTGCATGATTCGTGTTAGAACCCCCATCGCTTTAACGAAAGCCAATTTTCAAAGGCTCTTCTATGCATACGATGAGAATTTAGAGCGAGATACAAAACTACATACAAAACTTTTTGACGCGAAAATAATGTGTCGAAAGTTGTCCCTATTTTGACACACTTTGAATGTGTCGAAAGGTGTGTCCCCAAAGGCTCTGAAGTAGTCGAAGTGTGTCGCACCAACACCAAAGGTTTCTTGTAAAATTAGAGCCACAGAGTGAGGTATCACAGAGATTACTTTGCTACCAGGTCATTATGTTATGTAAGCACACGTAGTTTACAGGCGTGGTGTCCTAAGTGTCGTCAGAAAGAAACACCCTGGTGTTTCTTTCTGACGACGCTTGGTGCCTGATGTGATTTCCAGCTGCATTCCCGCGTGGAGCAAACGAAGTGCCTCAATGAACTTTGAGCACCCTTGATCTAGAATGTGGTGTGTCCGCAGATGTCCCAGCTGATGGAGTCGTGTGGGGAGACCCTTGTGCAGCACCTCCGGAAGGCCATGGAAGAGTCCCAGGGCGTCGTCAACGTCAAAGAGTACCTTTTGCTTTCCCTTTCTGTCTCTCTGCTTCCGCTGTTGTGGTCTGTTCGTATGGCCTCCCAGAAAAAGCTGCTCTCGCGTCACAAAGCCGCTGACAGATGAACGCAGTGGACAATCAGATAAGAGTGAAATGACGCGGCTGGCTCTAGCTTTGGAATACGGCTTGAAAACGTCATGCTCCCTAAGTCGGTAGCATAAAAAAAACACGATTTTTTTTGGTGACAGATTCACAGTAACCGTCCTGTGACTCCTCTAAATTAGAAGTGCGAAAGCTGGCAAAAGTAGAGCTAGCTCTCCCTCTTCCTACACACGGACGTTGGATCCGGAGCTTTTTTTTAGTTTGATATGTAGTATCCGTCTGACCTCCAAGACAGCTGTTATCCCCTTTTGTTGCTAATATCTACATGCTGTAATACGTGTATGGGAGTAGCACGCACCTTCACTCTTCGCTCCTGGTTGCTACCATTACCTTCTTTGTTAGGTTCCTTCTCTGTTCTTTACATTTCTCCCCTTTCATCGTCGCTGTCCTAGACCCTACCGTTCCATTCCAGTCAGTACGGAGCCTACACCTTGGACGTGATCGCGACGTGTGCGTTCGGCACGAAACTGGACAGCCTGGGAGAGGAGAATGACCCGTTCACGAAAAACGCCAGGAAATTCCTCGTCGATAATCCAATCGTTGGCAATCCTCTCATCATCATCCCTTGTGAGACTTGCCCCCTTTTCTTGGGCGGCAGTTATGATCATTAAGTCTTTAAGCCACAGCCTTAACCGATCGTCTCGGAAACCAGATGTCATGCACAGTTCCTTACTTTATCTTCAACTGTCAAATTGACCAAGGAAATTTTATTATGGAAATTTTAGCGTGAAAGATTGCGATGAGAAAATTACTCCTTCGATCTATGTGATGACTTCACACCGAAATAAAATTTAAAAAATCCTTTTATCGAACACGGTCTAAATCTGTCAGAAAATATTACTTTATTTCTTTCGAGCAACCAATGTGTATTATAATAAATAACAACTCGAGTGTAATCCGTATTTGGGTTCGGAACCGTAGGCAGATTTTTTTTTAAGGGTTTAGTGTTCCTCCTTTTTGGTCCTGGTATGAGGGTAAAATAGGAGCAGGCAGACCGGTACATGGGGTCGAGTGGGAGGGATTGGATTGGTGAGATATTCATAACTGACAATCCTGGTGACTGGTTATGACTGACAAGACAGAGCGGCAATTGAAAAAATGAAACCCCTGACGGCGTTTATGGTTTGCAGCAGTGAATCCCCGGTGGCGTTGGGTCTCGTAAAGCAAACCGTAAATTTTCGTTCGTGCAGTCCCTGCATGAATCACATAAGCAAAATTTTGTGCATATCGTGCATATCCAAATGGACCATATATGCACGATCACACGTCGGGCAGTCGTTGTAAAGGGGAGGAGTGGGAATATGTTTGTGAAATCCTGGTAGCACTGTCCCATGCCGGTGGATGAACAGTGCCTTGCAGATGTCAGGTTCTCACCAGATGACAATGAATCCCTGAGTGCGGGGAACGCAGTCGAGAGCTTCATTGTCATCATTCCGCTAGAATATATCATATGAACTAGGAGCAGAAGCGCCGAGGAGGCAATCGGCCCCTCGTTCCCACATCTACCCAGCGATGGACGGCAATCCACTAACAAGGACTCTTTGTTAGTATGCAAATCATACTTGCGCCCTGGACCTTGGTACAGTTCCTTCCTACCGTGAGCAGAGGCTCTGCGCAGATTACTGATATTCCTCGGAACTGAAAGTCTCGACCGTTTTTCTCTGTGAATGATGCAAACCGCTTCTCTCTCCAAACGGTGTTCTAGTCATATTCCCGTGGGTGATGCAATTGGGTCTGAATATCTTCCCGATGGAACCCATCAACTTCTTCAAAGATCTCGTCCAGGACATCATGAAACAGCGGAAGACCAAGGGCCATGTGAGTGCATTCTTCAACGTGTGCATTCCGTTTTTGAAGGCTGCATGAAATGACTTTGTTGCATCGGTTGAAATCTGCATAGCTCGTAATGAGAAAGCTTATTCGAGTGGGCTTAATCCTCGAGATCTTCTAAGCCAAGGACTCCAATGCAGGATGTGCGAAAACGAGTTATGAAGCCTACCTTCATGCAAAGGCTTCCGTTGAAGGGTTCCGAGACGAAGCAAAACTTGCACGACGAGATTCGGCTCCGAAGTTTCATGCTGGATGGTCGTCGCCCAGGATGATCGGGACCGCAAACAAATTATATATACTGGAATGAAATTTGCACTTTCAAGAAACGAGAATCTATTTTCTCCGCATCCTCAGGAAGATTAGGCTTAGCTGTACGGAGTTCACTTAAGGGGAAACTACTCGAAAGAAAACAACGTAAAATCTGCAGGCTTCACCCAATACCATGGACCAATTAATGAGAATCTGGTCATTCTCATTCCTCTCTTATTCTTATTTAGTCAAGCATGCACCACCAATTTGAGACCCCTCTAACGTGAATGTGATATCGCGGTGTCTTAGACCTTAACTTCGTTGTGCAAATGCACCGCAGAATAACATTAACAGCTCCTTCTTAAGCTCCTTAAAAAAAAATATATATGATGGTACCCGAAGGATGACACTATATGGATTCGTTGATCCGGAACCAGGAACGAGGCGATGCCCTGGACGCGATGATGGAGCAAGTGGAGAAGGAGAAGGAGGCAGGAGGCGAGATGGTGATGACGGAGGAGGTGATCACGGCCCAGTCCCTCGCCTTCTTCGTCGCCGGGTTCGACACCACGGGATCCATGATCAACTTCCTCACCTACGTTCTCGCTGTTCATCCAGACGTCCAAGATCGACTGTATCAGGAGATAGAGGAGAAAATCCAGGAATACGTACGTCACTTGATAGCAATTTGAAACATTTTTTAACTGTGAGGTCATTTGTACAGAGTAGAAAGGGAGTATGCACGAAAATGACGCGATGACGTTGTACTGAGCTAGCGTTTAAAGAAATTCTTTCCTAGCATGAAGAAACCATCATCATTACATGCGAGAGATTTGAGATTTTCATGCTGAGATTTTCTCCAACGAAAGCTCTCATAAATACAGGTTTTCTAACGCCGTAATGTGCATGTTAATACGACTACCGTATTTTACTGACCTGTACGTGATTTACATCCTCAAGAAGTATTTCCCACGAGCCCATGAAGGGCTAAAGACCTGATTCCCTTCCAATTGAGTCCAATCGGGGTAGGTCCACTTGCGAGTCATGCTCTGTAGACATGGGGTGAAGCTAACTGAATAATTATCGGAATTCGACCCGTTAATGCCCTCGTAGTTTTATTTTTGAAACTTTTGCAAAACAGGGCCTTGCTACTTTGAAACGAAATGAATGTCACGATTACATTTCAACAATACACTGAATGATATCGATTGAGATGTCATCATTCCATGGAATATGAATCCCACCAGGAAGAAATTCAGGAAAAAGTTGGAACTCGATTCATATTTATCAATTTTTGTTTTTACTCGATGAAAATTGGAATGAATTAAAAATCCCCTGATCGTCTCCTCTTCAGTCGTGACACTCCTTTCATACAAAGGCGAAGAAAGATTCTCGTCTCTACGAATGATGAGAGAAAAGGCTTGCCAGCCTCCCTCAGGCTTAAGGAACTGAAGGGAAGGAACTGAAGGGAAGGAACTGAAGGGAAGGAACTGAAGGGAAGGAACTGAAGGGAAGGAACTGAAGGGAAGGAACTGAAGGGAAGGAACTGAAGGGAAGGAACTGAAGGGATCAGGAGTTCTTTTCATCGTATTGTGAAGCGAATATTCGTGGAACGGGTTGCACCTGCTCCCGGATTTATCATTTATTCGAAAGAAAAGGGGTTTATAATGACTCTATTCGATTCCTGAGAATTTTCGCGAGGAATCCTGACTATATCCTGCCGACCAGGGTGGAACGAACCACGAGATGATGAACGCCTGCGCGTACCTGGACCAAGTGGTGAACGAGACCCTCCGCTTCTATCCCATCGCCACTCGGTGCGTCCAAATCACCCTCAACGACTATTCCTTTCACTTCTTTTTTCAAATTGTTTAGTCTGGCAAGAGGATGGTGATATTGCATTATTTGGCGTGGTATCTGGAGAGATTCAAATATGTCTTCCTGAAGCGCAAGTAAATTGGCATCAAGATGAAACTTGATGAGCGGATATCAATTTAAAACTTTTTATTGGAGGAGTATAAATGCTCAATTGTTCTATGAGAACGGGGCACTTTATGCCTCGAATTTTCCCTTGAAATTTTCTTAAAGTTGTTTATATCTCTAATGTTTTTCTAAAAATTAAGGTTGGTAAGGGGAGCCAAACCTGAGCAAACTTTCTTAATAACTGAGAATTTTTGTGATGGGGGACACCCAAAAGTATGCTTCTGATAACATCATCTACACTTGGATCAATTTGATCTTATGGGTACTTGACTCGATTTAAGGCTTAGGGAATAATATTTTCTTTGACTCTCATGCACCAAATAATTAGGCATAGACGTTTTTAATTGAAAAAAAAAATATTTTGAATACATATTGTGATGAATGTCGCAGACTCGAACGGGAATGCACCAAGGACTGCATCATTGATGGGATGGAATTCAAGAAGGGGGATTTGATCTGCTTCCCAATCTACGCTGTGCATCATTCGCTTGAATACTATCCCGATCCTGAAGTGTTCGATCCAGATCGGTTCGACTTTCCGTTTCTCCACCTCTCATTGCCCGATGTGGATGCTTGCGACTGCGAACGTCGCCAAAAATTCCCTTTTTTTTCTATTTTCTTTTGATTCTGTATTGGTGGGTGGGTGAGTGGGTGGGTGGGGGAGTGCAAAATTGGCCTTCACTTAACACCGAGTCTTTGGAAGCTCGCGTCATGTATCACTTGCTCAACACACCGCCAACAGGCTGACTGCAGGGATCAATCTAGAGAGATTTAAAAAAGAAATTAATCGTTGGGAATTGCGAGGGAAAATAAGAAAACTGGAGTTAAAGAAATAATTGACCCATTAGGAAAATTTGTTATATCTGCAAAAGTTATTCATAAGCGTTGGATGGACCATATACTTGACTGTGCTCATCCTGTGATGAGAAGTTTTTTTTTTAATTTTCACGATAGTAACTGTATGTAAATATGCGGTACAAATGTTTCATGGTTTCAAAAAGAAGGATTTGATCGGTCTACATTAAAAGAATAGAATATCCAATTTAGAGATAATCATGAAGTACGAACAGGAATTGGTAGACTTTCACCTATTCCAAGATTTTGTCCTCTTACAATTTACAAGCAGACCTCTCTTCTCTCCCCTCAATTAAATGAAAGAATAAATAAGGCGAACCACACAAAGGAATGCCGTCATGTACCCAGGCAGCACGCCCACGTTGGGCCAACGTGGTTCCCACGCGTGCAATGTCGACCCAACGTTGTGTCCTTGTAGATTTGTCCCTCGGCTCCACGTTCGACCAACATCAAACGAAGAGGAGAGGCCCGGAGTAAGCTTCTATAATTATTCAGGGCTGTTTGAGGTTTGAAACCTCATTCGGCAGTACACGGATTGTCAAATATCAGGCGTTTGCGCCTTCATACCAATCCGCTCCAGTCACCTGATATATAATGGTCCTTAATACTGGAAAGCCGATCAATTTGGATTTGGAAAACAGTGCCGAATATTTAAACCTTTTAAAAATCATGTTCAAAATGTTTCCAGGTTTTTTTTTTCTCAACTTAGACAAAGCCTCAGAAAATGATTGAAGTTTTCGTGAATTGATGCATAATCCTAATAAATCCACTCAGTCCCTTATGAAGTAGACGTACTTGCGGGAATGATAAAACTCTCTTCAATTAGAGGTAAATTCACGGTACACCTGCGCCAAACGAATCTCGAGAACTGTGGTTCGAATCCGCTTTGGAATGAAACTCATTGTTACATAGGTTTTCACCGGAGAAGAAGTCGAAGATCCCACAAGGAGCCTTTCTTCCGTTTGGCATTGGCCCCCGGAACTGCATCGGGATGAGATTTGCACTCGAAGAGGGGAAACTGGCGCTGTGCCACCTCATCCATTCCTTCCGTATCCTCAAATGCGCGGAAACACCTGTGAGTTCTCGTGCCAAAACTACGAGGCTACCAGAATTATGCAATATTGCCTGGAATATATATACACATCCCAGAATTCACTATTGGCCAATCTGCTTGGAAAGTGAAGAACCCTCTTTTTTGTTCGGTATATAGTGATATAGTGATAGGAAAGCAATGTATAGGCAAAGGAAGGCAAAGCAATAGTATGTAAGGAAGGCAAAGCAATGGAAGGTGCTCAAACTTTCTGAGATTCTGTGAGATTCTCTGAGTGTCTCACGAGACCATCACGACCTGGAAAGATTTGTTCGCTGATGTTGCACATTTTGGACACGAAGAAAGCGGCGAGGCATGGAAGCACTGATCGGTCGACGTCACCGAACCAGGCTCGGACCGTCCCCGGCTGTCAGACATCGCACAGAGTCGACGAGAGTCGTTTCATCAAATGTAAATGCTGATGATTCTTTTAGAGATGACGTTAAGTCGTCCTTCTAACGAAATGATTTCTATGGATGACTCGTCAGAAATTCAAAGTCTTCAGACGGACTTTTTCCCACCGACTCCCATCAGGCACTGATCGCCATCATCGATCAGTTCGATCGCTTCATGATCGTACCGATCGACGATGGAAACCATCGAAAAATGTCGTGAAAATATCGTCAAAGTTGCAGGTCGACCTGAAAACGCTGTAAGAGCGACTTCCTAAGCCTTCTGCATTCATCGTGCAATTTTGAAGTAGTCGAAGCGGTCCCGATCATACCAACAAGCAATTCGTCCACGAATGCAAATGCTCAATCTCGCCTTCACTGCAGGTGCCTCTCAAGTTCACTCCGGGAGTCCTCATGCTCATGCCCGACAGGACCAGCCCGATCAGAGTCAAACTGGAGAGTCGAATCTGATGGCGGCGAGACTCCTCGGGATCACTTGGGCGATTTTTCATGTGCTTCCTTGCTTTGCTTCGAGAAAGATGGTGCATGCTTTGTCCTGGAATTTGCGTGATTTGGAGAATAAAATTATTATCATGAGGTGGTTCTCTCGCTCTCTCGCGATTCGTGAGGAAGAGGTGTGAACGTCGCTCCTTTCACTGTCTGCACATTTCAAGGTTTTATGCTTGATTTCGAAGTCGTTATTTGCCATGGGATCCGAGGATATTTTAACGCTTTTAATGGCCTAAAGATTAGGGGTGGATTTTTGAACAGAGCATTATCCGATAATGCTGCTCAATTTCAGAGAAAATGCATTTAAAATCCGGTAAATAAAGTTGCATTATCGGATAGTGCTCTGTTCAAAAATCCACCCTAAATTTCAAAAACTCTTCGAAACAAAGCAGAACAAGAGTCTTGTGTTTCCACGGGCAAAAAGGCCCTCCTGAATGCATAAGGCGTACCGTAATTTATAACGAGATATGTTGTCCCTAAATATTTGGTCCGGGGAATCACGTATTTCAAATGTAGTATGATGCGGCATAATAAAGTGTGACACAAAAGTCACTTGACAAATGAGAAAAAAAAACCCCTTTGCCTAACATCTTTATTTTTGAACTAGCAGAGATGCTCAAAAGTGTTCTCCGTGAACCACAATGGAGTGCTCCAAACGATTCTTTAGTTCATTCTGACGGTGGCTAGTGCTGCTGAAGCACACGAGTGATGCGGTCTTAAAGTCTTTGAAGGATGCAGGTTCCGTCATAAACACATGCTGCTTAAAATAGCCCCAGAGGAAGAAACCCGGGGGAGTGAGGTCAGATGATCGAGGGGGCCAAGACACAGGTCCACCCCGTCTCAATCCACTGATTGCCAAATAGGTTATTCAGTTTCTGACGGATCGTGAGAGCAAAGTGGGGAGTGGCACCGTCCAGTTGGAACCACATTTTTGCGCCGTGTATTCGGTGGCAAATCATGAAGAAAACCAGCTACAGTTGTGTCCAACACTTGCCCAAATGCGTGTTGGTCCACATGCCCTTCAAAGAAGTGTGGTCCCAAAACCATGTCACGAAACAGACCACACCACACCATCACCTTCTCAGCACCAAGTTTGTCCAATTGGCGCATCCATGCTGGGTTAGTCCGGGACCAGTAACGCGCATCCTGTGTGTGAACATGACCATTCCAAGAAGAGACATTCATCAGTAAACACCACATGTTGCAAAAAGTCGGGGTCGCAACAAAGATTTTAGACTAAATTGTTTCTTTTTTCTCATTTGTCAAGTGACTTTTGTGTCGCACTGTATATCACACATATTTGTCCGCTCTAAAAACTTACTCCACAATAATCAGTCCGCCCTCGAAATAAGAAGACTCCCATGCTCCTACACAGTAAGAATAGAAAAAAAAAACAAGAAAGATTAGTAAGTTGGGTTCATGAGCTACAGACTCAAAGTTCCATGCAATAGCATCAATTTTCTTTTTAATTCAAGGCAATTTGAAAGTTCGCCAAATGATCGCAAGAATTCGCCCATATTCTTATAGGAAAAAAATCATGTAGAAATTGCGTTGAAAGAGACAACCTCGGATTTATTGTCCCTGGCAAGGTTTTTCCCAGTCCCAGGAACCAGTCAAATATTTTTCATCGAACCATCGATGGCTTTCCGTCGACGCACATATAAGCCATAGCTGGGTCATCACTGGCATATGATTGCCTTACGGTCGGTTTAAGCCGGCTTAGGGTCGGGCATGTCCTGTTGGCCCTGCATCGGGGCAACCTTGGCTCGTTGTTGGGAGACCGCACATGCTTCAACCGTCTTCATCTGGGAGAGTTGGAGAGTACCAGAGTACCTTACGCTGGCACGCTCCCACCGCCAAGAGCTGAGAGTATCCCAAGCAATATCCTTTCCGTATGCTAAAGCATCCAGGAGTAGAATAACATCATGGGAATGCAAAGGCGTCTGTCCTCCCGCAGGAGACCATGCATGCCTTACATGCAACAAGCTTTCCAATGTCGACGAGTGCAGAAAATAGGTCGCGTAGCTTACCGTGGAAAGTAGAAGGATCGTCCCACGGACCTCCGGGTCGGAATTTCCAGGTTTATTCCATGGCTAGGTTACATCATCAGAGAAATGTTTTAAAGTATCCGATTGTCTTCCTCTGAGATCTATGTGAGAAACCATAGGGAACCGTGTCTATAGGTCAGGGGACTCATTTCAGTAGAATCCGGGAAGCGACTCCTTACGACGACCACTTTTGCTCCATCCCACGCCGATTTTCGGAACCTTCTCAGCCACATTCGTCGAAAATGAACCAACTCCCCTAGCTATTGCCCGACGATAAACTAACAAAAAATTTTTACTGGGAGCAAGCGCACCCCTCGTAAGATTGGAATGAAAAAAACTCTTGAAAAGATTATCGCTGAAGAAGATGCTTAACTAAGCATACATTTCAAGCGGAAATCGATTTGCTCGTAAGAGAAACGTTCTTCGTAGGATTGGTGTTGCACACCTCAGCAATGGAAGTTGCTGAGGGGTGCAATTCATTTCGGCGTCATTCCAAAACGGCAAGCCGCTTGGCACCGTTCCGATTCGAATTCCGCTCGAGCGAAAACTGTCTCTCCTCGTCGAATGGACCTACATAATTTTCTGGGATCACGTAACCGATGAGTATTGCTCAAGAGTGGAGAGAGGACCTTCACCCAAGATCTAAATCACTTTTTTTTTATATTTTATTTCTATGGATTTACACTTTTTTTCGTCATGCTCTTGCTTTCGGGCTTCTCTTTGGTTTCTCATGGATCACCTGCAGTCATTTTCTTCTCCGGATTCTTGGACCGACTTCTTACTTATGCGAAAATTGCCTCATTAAATTTTTTAAAAATATTTCTTGCAGCCAATCGGCTGTAAATCCTGACACGTGCTGTGCCCGCATGCACCTACGCACCTATTCGTTACGATTGGTCGAGAGACGATTGTCCTCTCGTATTGGGACTAGGCCGGACCCTATCCCTTCAATTCCACTTCTAACCTTCAAGCAAACTATCGTTAGTTGTGAAGAAAGTCTCCTCGCCCGCCGAAGTAACTCGAAAGAGATGCGAATCGAAGAACCGCGATCGATGAGATCGAAGTTGGAGGAAGGTGCAAGAGCCTAGAACTATCGCAGAGGGAAGGAGGGGAGAATGGAGGAGAGGAAGGAGGAGAGGAAGGAGGAGAGGAAGGAGGAGAGGAAGGAGGAGAGGAAGGAGGAGAGGAAGGAGGGGAGAATGGAGGGTCTTCTCTTCAAACCGGTGGAAGGAGGGCGTCGAGGTCTGTTGCAACGCTTCAAGAGCAAAACACGCCGTGATAGTGGAGCTAAAGCGAGAGGATTTCCCTGCTGGTCTTTTTCGACGCTCTCTGATCATCTCTGTGATTGCATCTGAATTGAATCTCGATAGGAAGTGGATAGCTTGTGAATTTCATCTGAATTACAACTGAGTAGCGTTTGAATTCCATCCACCTGGATGAGATTTGTTTTGGACGTTCGAGCCTTACTTGTTCAAAAGTTCGGATATTAGAAGCCATTCGGGTTTCGCCGAACACTGCGTCGATCATTGACATCAGTCTCGATTCCAGTAATGGATGAATATATGATACTCGTATAAACAATCCTCGTGAGAAAAAAAAAGGTAGAATGACAGGTTCGTCTTTTCTGCAACAGCTTTCCAACGGTTCCTGGAGAGGTTTCCAGCATTGAAAGAGATTTTGTTCGGGAAGTCGGAGCGGCATCCCTGGCTGCGACTCTTTGGCAAAACGGCGACGGGAGGAATTTTGGCGGGGATCTTCCATCTCCTCGTGGTGAAGAGGCTCTGGCTGGATCCCCTGCCCGACCTCGTTCTGGGCGTCGTCCTTTTCGTCTTCGTCTTCTTCGGGTTCATCTTTTTCAAGAAGGTTGGAGTTCTCGACTCATCCTTAAGCCTCGTTCGCTTCGAGTTCGTGGAATGAACAATGCTCGCAGAGGATTCCAACTCGAACAAAGAACTCGTTTTCCCCATTCAGATGCGCTGCCTCTGCTTCCTCTGTCTGCCGAGCCTGTTCGCCCTGGCGGGGAGGGCCCTGCTCGTCGCCTTCCTCGTCGAGCTCCTCGTGGAAGGCCCGGTGAGCAACTTGGAGAGGAACATGGCCGTTGCGACCAATGCCACCTTTTGCACCTTGGCCGTTTTCGCTCGGCTGAAAATCAGGAAGCACGGCCTCGTTCTCGCTCCGTTGACGGGGGCGATTCAGACTCTCCAGGTGGAACGATCAAATTAGCATCCTCGTGTATTTGTTGAAACTTTTTTTCCGTGGTCCGTGGCTGATTTGATGGGGAAATGCAGACGGAAGGCGATGAGTTCAGACGACTCGGCCACGCCTTGAAGGAGACCTTCGAGCCTTTAAGAGAAGAGGTCTTGGGTGGGATAGAAGTACTGAATGCCATGAACCATACCATCACCGTAGATGCCAATCATGTTAGTTTAACCCAATACCTCTTCATTTTCTCGCCTCCTCTAGAAAATGTCTAACTCGTGAATCTCGAGTCAAAATATGAAGGATTGTTCCAAAGACCACTTCACAGTGAACATTTAATATTCTTCTCATCCATTTCTTCATCGAGGATCCACCTGACAAGTGCACACTTCACGTCAACGAGAAAATGCAGCAATATTCCAGAATTGTTATCTTCTCAGAGGAGATACTAATCTTTTTATCTCCACCTGTCCTAGGGCGGCAAAAATCGGACAGCAAACATCCTGGAAAGGTACGGTGGCGATGGAAGAAGCCGAGCCGAACAGATCCAAGCGGCTTATACGGAGAAACTCGCACTACGTTGTGAAGGTATGCCATCCTGTCACGAGCGGACGGTCCGAGCGAAACTCGGCAGAAAGCTGGTGCGTGACGTCACTCGATGCACGGTTCCCGAGTTCTCGTATCATGTGCTTGCTTTAAGGCCGTCGACTTCGTGAGTCTTCAGCCTACTTCGAAATTTATCAGTTTCACCACTGTCAGTGAACTTCTTTTCACGAGCAACTGAAACAACTTCCCCCGTAAGCGACCACATCTCAGACGACGTAACGTCTCCTTCAGACG